GCGTAAATACGGTCGACTTTGAATATAATTCTTGTCAGTAATTATTATTTTATATAGTAGATTATACTACATTACTACTCATTATATGTACTTTATATGCTGTGTCATGTGCCATTCTTACATAATTTATTATTACATGGTAGTAGATACATATATTTTTGTATCTGTTCATACATAAAATAAATAAAATTCATCACTTTCATGTACGAAAATTATTTATAGTTAATAATTTTTTTTAATTAAAGTTTTACATAAATATAAATCTGTTTCTTAAATTTGCAAAATGTGTTATTAATTGTAAAGAAATGTTAATGGATACTTTTTAGAACCATCCTCAAATTTGATATATTTCATATATTCCTAAACCTATATATGCAATATATAAGGGGAGTAAGAACAAATTGACATGGTGTTTTGTTTTTTAATGATATTATTTATCCAATGATATTGGTACAGGTTTCAATTGTTTTTTTTTGTCATCTTTGGTTCATTGACGACCTGTAAAATAATGTTTTTAAGGTAAAATGGTATATATGTTGAGGACATACTGAGATGGTAATTTTTAAGAAAGCAGTTCACAAATAAATCATTTTGCGTCCTCTTTGAAACATTAGCACATGTATCATGATCCCAAAGGGTACAAATCATACATTGTAATAATCTTTGACGGGCTCGAAAGGGAAAAAGAAGGTTTTGCAACAAATGCAAGTCTTTTCTTTTTACCAGTGGATTTTTTGGTCTGCTTTTAGCAATTATTCCTTGCATACTTGGAGTAGAAATTAAAAGCTAATCTCCTTTGACAGGTTTTTTTCTGGCCCTGCTTGTGAAATAGTAGGAACTTTGCCAATTTGTCCATTATATAGAAATTGAACAAAATTGAATTATTAATCAAAATACCATCAAAAGCTTGATTATTCACTGATCACTAGTTGTGGCATCATTTATTTGATTTTATTTGAAATAATTATAAATATCAATAGACAGGTCTCCAAAAAAAAATCAGGCGAAAAACGCGTTTGAACTGATTACTGCGCCAAGTCTATGACAATGACTGTCAATATCTGACAGAATTGTTATTATGGATTTTAATTCAATTTTTAAATAAGGCCACTAAAAGAAGACATCCTTCCGGCCAGAAGGAGTTAATAGTTATCAACATAACTCATAATTTCTCAATAATTGTTCCTGCGCTAATAGAAACTTTAAAATTTTTGAAGTTTTGCATTTTAAAACTCTGTTGTTCAAGTTTTAATAGGCATTCATTAAGCTATCTAAAATAATTTGTGTTATAACTATAAATAAGGTTTAAATCAATTTCATTAGTCATCCATACGTTTCAAGCCCTAGTTTGACTCTTCTTGAATGACCAATACACACAAATTAGTTATAAAAAATAAAAACAAACCTTTTAAAAATTATATTTAAATTAAATATAACCAATAATTTTCTGCGCCTTACGGTAAGTGCATAATTTATTTTTTCTACATATTCAGTTTTTTATCAGTATTTCTTTTGATTTATAATATACTAAAATGTAACAACTACTTAGATATAGTTTCATGAAGTAAAAAACATAGTTTGTAAAATATTTCAACTCCTTCAAGCTTTAGTTCCAATATTTTTTTTAAAAAACTCACAAGTTTCAATTTTAACTTCGTCCCATACGTAACAATTCTTATCCTATGTATTATTCGATAATAATCATTTTGTTCAACAACAAATAAATTTCTGCTTAGTTGTATAATTTCTCTCATTTCCCAACGGTGACATCTAACTACTTGTCAAATCGGTAGTTCAAAATCTACGGAACGATTTGTAATCGATGTAAATGTGATGAAATTAGATGAATGGCTGAAATTGCGCAACTCTATAAAGAATTTAGGACGATGATATGAATTTCATCGTTAGCATAATAATGATCATAAGACTGTTTTGTTTGTGAGTCTTTGTAATAGAACGATAGTGGCATATCTCAACATCTCTGAAATACCGTTGCAGTGAAATTCCGTTAGGGCTTTAGAGCGTAAACAGAATTCTGCATCTCGAAAGAGTCAACCTAGGGTTGCCAATAAAATTGGAATTAGATTGAATTAAGAAAATAGCTGGAGACAGTTTTTTTTTTCTTTTATACTCGAACATCAGTCAGTACTCCGATAAGATAAAATCCGATGTTTTAACCACGAAGCTTTTTAGAAAGCAAACCAACTCTATTTGACACATACGTTGGTTTACCTGTATTTGATATATTTTCTTTATTAGAACTTCTCCAATTCTATAATTTTCAATTTAATGTAGCAATGCAAGGGGCTATTTTTATTTTGGAATGTTTTTCCATCTATGTCTACAAGTGAAAACCGATACCACTGCTATTTGGTATTAGGTTGTCCGAGGCGGGTATAGAACCTGTAACTTCTGGTTGGAAGATCAAACTTCTCACTACCAAGAAAAAGCCTAATACCATAAATTTGGAATTCAAGTCAGAGTATTTGTCTTATTAGTCCAGTCTTAATTTTACTAGTAGGGGGACAGGGTACGGTTGTGCTACTTTTTTTTGATCAGCAATAATTTTGGTAATTTGAACATTTGTCTACATAGCAATACTAATAAGATACTCTACTGACTCTTTAAAAACAATACGGTTTGCAGATCATAAAGGCGCTGATTGAAAGTAATATTGGAAACTTGCTAAAACAAACATACTACATCTTTCACCTCTCGGACTCTTTCTCAAAATTAGTATAGTTTAGTTATTATAATGACTATCACATTGAATCGTACCCTGGCACAACCGTACCCAGTCTTCCTTATTTGTTTCACCAATATAAATTTGTCACTAAATTAACTAAATATATTATCTTAACGTCTGCATAAAAAATTTATGGTAGAAATTCATTTGAATGCTAGTTTAGTGGGTCTGAAAACAAATTTCAAAGTTTGTTAGACAAATTTATATTCCCTCGTTGATCAATTTCTTACTAAATTTCTGTACTTTTAACTAGATTTTTATACTGCTAAGCTGCAATTTCAATTGTTTTTAAGATGTAAATATTGACATAATTTTAACTACATTTTAACTAATTCAACCACATTTAAACTAAATTATTTTTGCTCTTAGGGAGATTAAACTTCTACTCAGATGGATGGCAAAACAATAATTTCTGATAGTGTTATTTTGTTGTGTTATATATAATCACTTAATTTATGCATATTTTTGTATTCTTGTTAAGCTATATAAAATTTATCTAATCTACTATCAAAGATATTGTCAACCCTCGATGGATCCACATCTGCGGATCTAATATGCACATTAGATAAAACAGCATCTCGGATTCAAGATAATAACTTCCTACAGAAATAAATAACTCAGCAGAATTGAATGTCAACGATTCAATGTGTTTGCAATTTATTTGTTTTGTTACAAAACTCATTTCGACTATCATAAAATGCGCAGAGCTATGAATTATAGTTATTTTATATGTTAGAAATAATGAGATGAATGATTGCAGTATCGATTGCATATTGTAATTATATTTGTAATGTATTTTATGTTAGTTTAATTTATTTAGATTAGTTTAATTATTACTTATCATATCTATTAATATTTTTTAATCATAAAACTAGAAGAATTTTCTGAAAAGCAATAAAAATAATTTCTTTTGCGTTAAAATTATAAAAATAACTAAATCTATCTATCCCAATCGTTAATAGCATTTTTGCCATAAAAACGGTATTACAGAATATTGTAGTATGCAAATGTTTTAACTAGTGGCATCGTGCCTTAAAGCAAATTGCTGGAACTCGTATCAAAAATTAAAATTTTGAAAAACAATTCAATTTTCTTTTAGAACTCTGAAAACAATCGATATTTGAGATTTTTAAATTTTCTGAGAAAAATGAACCTTTCTGAAAAATTCGATTTTTTTCGAATTGATTTGATTTGATTTGAAATATTTTGGAAATTTCGAACATTTTTCAAAGGGATCGCGATACGTTAACTGCGTAGAAACGCAATATCGAAGCGCGTGAGCGCCGCGTCGCAGTATACGGATAGACATTGGTACGAAACCCATGGAAAAATGTACAAAATTTCTTATTATTAAAATATCTATAAAATATGATTATTTGATGTGCATTTGTCTAATGATCATTTTTGTCCGCCAAATGGCACACAAACACACACATGCATACACACTGTCTCACACACACACATACATTCATTCTAAAGTATGCCAAAATATTAAGAAGACCTAAAAACGTAAAGATATACAAGAAAAATTACATTCGATTTTTTTGCGAATACTATAACTTGCCCTACGGAAGTTAAATATTACAAAGCAAGCCAACGGGTTGGCCTATGATAGGCCAAGGTAAATATATATAGGCCCTATACCTTTTTGATAAATTTATTATTAGAATAATTCGAATATCGATGACTTTTTATAGGACTCAGCAATATAATATCAGTAAGGGCTATTTTTGCTTGGAAACATATTGCTACCTATATTTTTAATTGAAGACCGATGTAACTACTGCTTGATATCAGGCTGTTCGAGACAGGTATCGAATCTGGAACTAGTGATTGGGAGCCCGTAACCTTTTAAATGTCTAAGGACATTTGTTTTAATAATAATAAGTAAAGTGGCGACGGTATGCACCACAAATTGTAGTGCATACCAGGCAGTCACAACTTCACAACTACTTATTAGAAACAAGAATCTGTTTACACACACACATACGTTTTACAAATTTGGTCTTATTCGATTCAGAATGGCTTGAAATGTCCAGAAAACATAAAATTAGCAGATTGAATATTTTATGAAAACAACTTAATCTTCGGGAAGTTATAAATATCAATAAGAAATTAGGTCAGATTGATAGTAAATCATTATGTCATATAAATAAATTCATTATGTCATCAATTTAGTAATAGATTTGTCATATCATAATTTTGAATAAATTTGAATGAAAAAGTAAATACGAATTTTCTTTGTTTGTTTCAGATTACGCATTCAGGACATTTCACTCGTTTACCGATGATGAAGAACCACAAGGAAGATTTAAAAAAATAGTATAGTTGATTTGATTTAATTTCTCTTGGACAAGTGTTAAATAGTTTTCCTCTATACACAATGATAAACTCAAAAACATAGCATCACCTGCCGAGTGTTCAGAATCAAGATCTTTGTTATATCTCCGGAATGGCGCGCAGAGTCGCAAGTAACCACTATGTGGCGACACATAGCTCCCCTGAGGGATATTTAGTGAGAAATGGTCATTCGAATGTTGCCTACAGCACCGATGGCGAAGACTCCCATAGAGCCGCTTCTGAGTATATGGTAAGGATAATTTATAAATGCATAAAATGTAAAACGACATCATGTTCGTAATCTTAGATGGCGAGCTGAGTAATAATTTAGCATTAACACAATCTAGATACGCATTTGTTATGAATTTTGCTTAACAATGGTTTCTTAAGAAATACTAATAAATAATTTTATGTCTTGACTATAGTTTCACTATTAGCATCTACATATTTTTTATTGGTAAATGTACTCTTACATGCTGGGATAATTATGATATAGGGCTTGTCCGTGGGTCCCAGGTTTGATACCCATCTTAGCACTAGTGGCATGAGTTTTCACTTGGAAATATAGATAGCAATATGTTTTCAAGTGAAAATAGTTCTTATCCAGCATTGCTGTAGTAATAAAAATTCAACTCTATACAAAAATTTTAATAATAAAACCTCTTCACGTAGATATGTGACGACTGTTGGGTTTCCATCTTTAAAAAAACGACAAGTTTTAGTTGTAATTAAAAAATAACAATATAAAAATTTATTAAATAAAATAAATTTATTTAATATATTTTGAAAATATTGCCTTTCCTACTAGTTATAAACCAAGAACATTATGTTTTTCTGTTACATATCTTCATGTCTCTTTAACGGATTGAATATTAATTATTTTTTAATTGCAGTCAAAGATGGTATATTAAGTAGTTATATGACGCAAATCTTGTTTATTTTTGAATATATCAGATCTATTAAAATATTTCTGATTTTATAGATCAAAATCGTTAAATGCAAATTCGCTTATAGTTGGAGGTTTTTCATTTGACGTTGCATTAAATTACATTAATTGATTAATTTAATATTAGCCATTGTGTCGTATTAAAATATAATATTTATTTCAAATTAGACATTGTATGATTCTGAATTTGATGTTGACATATGTAATAACTAAGTCTAGTGATCGGGCATAACATCAATAAAAAACATGAATTTCTTTCAAAAATTTATTTTACATCCATACGCTTCGGCTATGATCCTAGCCTTCATTCAGTGGAAACTAAAAATAAAATTAAAAACTAAAACAATTGAATTGGAGTGAAAATAAAAAATAAAAAGAGTAAATAGTACTTACAATTAGTTTATCTTATTGTTAAATTGTAAGATTTTAATAATCCATGGTATCATATTGTGTTTTAAAGTATAAATTTGGTCCGCAATCATAGTTTTAAATTTTCTGGGATATATATATATATATATAAATATATATATATATATACTTGCATATATGGATTAATGCATAACAATATGTTAATGTGCCATTACTGATTATGGAATATAATATCACTACTTTCAAATCCATCTACTTCTATCAATTTTGATAAATTTATTAGATATATGTATCTACATTCAATATGCTAATTTCGAACATTTGTGAGTTATGGTTTGAACAAATAAAATAATAAAGTTTTACATTGTAACATAATGTCTTTTGCAACAAAGTAGCCTTTTTTTAATTTTATTTTTTCATTGGTTTATTCAAATTCGGTAGTCAGGACAGTTCAAATTTTATTACTCATTTTTCAAAATAGTAATATTGTGATTGAATTCACGGTTGCAAAAATTTGACATCTGATCTAAAATATTATTCCCAATAATTTTTAAAATTGTGTTTTGAGATATTCATAATTTGCGGTTTGTCTGCTATCTTCAAAATTTCTCGTTTTAATTAAACAATTAGATTTTTGGGAATCAAGAAGCTTAATATCAATGATGCTTCTGTATTTTAAAAAAATCATCTTTTATAACTAATATTGTAAAACATTTGCCCAATGAAATCAATGCAATATTTCAACATAGACACTATTCCACGCAAGGAGCAACTTGCGTAGCTTTTAATAGCAATTATTTTGTAATAAAATTACTATAAAACTAAGATTTATAACGTATAAGATCACATAGGTATTTCATCGATATTAATTATCTCGAGGTCGCCAAACACGTGAACAGAATTATTGATTATTATTATGATTATTACAATCAAATATAATTGATTTGTACATAAAATAAAATTATAAATTATTTTTTTACGTTTAGGTATAAAATTTTTAAAAATTGTTCAAGTGTTTATAATTTAAATGGCTTGTTAATAATATTTATATAAAAAACGTTAACCATTTGAGTGGTTCATTCATTATCTTCTACTCCTCAAAAATGTTTGCAACTCATAATCAACGCCATTTGTCATAATTTTTCACAGACACTTAAGGCAAGTAGGAAGTTATGAAATTTTGTTTTTTTTATCATATGCAATTACTTCTTTCGGCACAATACCTACTCAATTACGATATGTAATTGTAAAAACAATTTAATGAAATTTCCTGTTATAAAGTTTTTAAATTGCCTTTCTTCCACTGATTGAACAAGCATTCTATTCGTTTACGCACACTGGATAATCTGTGGTCAATTATAGTTAATATGAGTTATAATAAATAATTGTTGTCTATCATTATCCCACAAAGTTTATAAATTCCTATAAGAAGTTAAGTAACTATGTTCTTGGAAGGTGCTCGACAGTAGTTCTAGGTTTTAACATTCTAGAGAAATTTCCATCGATAGAAGATTCTGTAATAGACAAGGTGCAATGCGGTTTGGCCTACAAATACCTTTTCCTATGCCAGTACTGGTTTTGTATAGCTGTTCCTATCTCCTGCAGCATTTGTGATCTATTTACACTGCAGTAATAAATTTGAAGACCTGTAATTCAGATAATTTGTGATTTTGCAAGCGCTAAACTTATGGCTATTCTGTTCTACTTGTTCTTGTTTTTGTTCGAGCACCTGAGTCTTTACATGTCGGTTTGTACATACTCTCCTTATATGTGTAAATTGAGAATTGTATCAATGTATGAGATAATTAGATAAAAATTTAATCCATTTTTTTAATTTTTGTGTAATATAATTAATAAAATAATAATCATATTGCTATTAAAGCAAAAATTCATAATCAACAATTGAAAAACGATCTAGGTAATAAATCATATTAAATTTTACTAAAAATACAAACTTCTATTTTACACATGTATAATTCTGAAGAGAATCTTATAAATTTTTATAAGATGAATCACAAGCAGTGTGTAATACACAAATCAATTTTAATTGGTTTGCATCAGGTATACTGTCTATTATGTTTACAGTTAATTTTACATATACCTACCATAGCCGATTTTCTTGGAACTTTATTGCTTATTTATAATAGATTGTGTAAATTAAATTGATAAAATAATTTATTAACACTTCTTCACTTTGAAATCCATCATAAAATGAAGGTCAATACATTCAAATGATTTATTTCTTAAAAAATATGAAACTTGGTTATTGCTACCGAAAGTATAAAAGCGGACATGCTAATTTGCTATTGAAACATGTTAATAAGTTATGCAAATTAGCACAATTATTTTCTAATACCTATTCAATTTTATTACGTTTAAATTACTGTACTCTATCAGATTGTAAATATTTTCGAATATTTCAATAATATTTTGTGATTGTAAATATTTATATTTATAGAATCAGAATAGTTTTTACTTTTATTTAAATAATGATACAGTATGGTATATAAATATATTGCAAATGCAGTTATATAAAGAATTTGCTATAATATGTATGTATAAATATGTATTTATTTTTAAAATTTTGGTCCGAATAAAATGAAAGTTTAATAATAAATTAGAAAAAAATTGAAAATGTTTATAACTTATAAATAATTTATAACAATGCTTAAATTTGATTCATTACAAACATTTTATTATGTAAGTAACTTCCTAAAGTTTAAGTTTGTTTAAGAAAGTCCGATTTGCTCTTATGTTCTCTCGACAAATCTAGACTTTTTCTCAAAGTATCAAAAAGAGCTGCACCAATTTCAAAATTCAAAATTTATTTAAGCAAAAAGAGCTGCACCGATTTGAAAATTCAAAATCAATTTAAGCAAACTTGACAAAAATAATTTGCGGCAAAGACATATCTTTAGAATTAGTAAAAAAGCCTAAAATTTTTGTCCGAGTTTTAGCCAAATATTCAAATTTTTAAAATTCAAAACTGTTTGAAAGATATCTGTTGGCCGTTTCTTCGTAAATGATTATTGGAAACATTTTTTGTTCTTGATGAAACTTTATATGATGATAAGGTCGTGGTCATAGCGATCATTCTAAAATATCCAGGGCATTGAAAAGTGGTTTAATTATAAAAATTCATCTAAATTTAGAATGTTGAGCTGAGTCCAAATTTCAAATTCCGATAATCATACATTTGAGTTACTATATCTCAATTGTCGTTGGTTAAGATGATTGTTTACACATATCGAGAAGTTTTCGCAACTAAGATTACAGCAAAATGCCACTAACGCTTAGTTTATATTATAAATTGTCAGATGTTAAAGATACTTATTTTTTTATAAATACATTTTAGGTATAGACAGTGTTATCATGTTTGATTAGTAAATTAGAAGCTATAATACATTGAACATTTTTTCATGTTTTAATTTACAATATAATATAATACAATACAATATAATATAATGTAATATACTAGTGGTGTATGGCATCGTGCCATAAGGCAAATTGCTGGAACTTTCCGTACCGTAATAAAATATTCGAGGAATATTAAATGTTTTCAAACAGATTATTATAAATACTGTAGCTTTCATTATTTTTATTTTATAGACAAAATATAAAAGTTTATGAATTGGACAACGACGTTTATATATGTTTACGGAAATGTAAATAAACAAAACTTAATCGATCTGATTTAAAATGAAGGACATTGTCTAAAATTTATAAGAATTATATAAACTGAATTGCAAAGTTAAAATTATTTATTTGAAAAAAAAACCAAAAGCAATCGTTTTTTCAACACAAGCAGAAAGTTTTTTGTATTCTTCAAATTGGATTCTTAGTCTTCTTGAAAACTGCTATTTTTTGCACATTTAGTCTCCGAAACGGCTGGGCCTGCCTTTGCCAAAAACTAATCACCAATTTGCCCCACCATTACTTGGTTCGTATTCTCAGAAACTTGATTATCTTTTTCTGCACTCTTTACTCCGTATTTCCAAAAAGGCTGGAATTGCCTTTGCCCTAAAACAAAAACATCTCCATATTAATAGGAATAAGGTTTTTTGAACCACTCAAATCGGTTGATCCGTGCGTCCGAAAACGTGGGCGAAAATTTGTATCCATACATACATACACACACATCCATTTTTTCTAAGGTATGCCAAAATGTTCAGAAACCTTCAAAACGTAAAAAAATGCAAAAATTTTCAATTTCGGTTTTTGTACGATTACAATAATTTACCCTACGAGATGTTAATAAGTTAACCTTTCGACTCGGAGGCCGCTTTTTCGGCGGCAAAATTCATACAAATCTCGAAATTCGCGAGCGGAAAGTGTTAATATAATAATTCATTATCACCAACTTCGATCATATTAAGATCTATCAAGCTATCATTTAATGTAATATTTGTATTTAATGTAATGTAATATTTATTATAAATCAATAATTCACCTTTCAGATCTCAAACGAACGAAGTTTATCTCCGAACCCACGAAAGCCTCGATCGTCATCCCACCAGCACCTGAACCACCATCACCACTCGAGTCAGCAAGCGCTGTCGGTGCCCTCAGTGCACCGGCACGGTTCGCACACAGCTCTCACGCCCAGCGGTGGACCACCGTCGAGACCGCCACCCAGGGCTCCTAGCCAACTCAGCTTCGGCGATAATGGATCCGATATATATGTTACTAGTGCGGCCTACAAAGCACCTTCGGAGATCAGGTTTGTTGTGAGGGATTATTTGGATTTGTATTTAGTATCTTTTATTCGAAAGCATATTTAATATTCGAAAATGATTGTAGAAATTATTACATATGATTATCTAAATTATTTTTCCCACATGTTTCCATCTCAATTTAAATACTTGCCAGTCGACATATTACACCACTAGCAATATTTGCATCAGCTAAATTAAATAATAAAATTCCATGTACAGGATTTTATAATTTGCAGAAAATGGAAAATTTAAATTAATTTATCTAAAACAAAAACTATTTGACTCACTAACTAAACTAAAAATTCAACACTTTCAAAAAATTCAAAATAATTACATGGATGTAAATTGGGAAAACAAAGACAAGACTTTAATTACATCAGTTAAATCAAAAATTACTAGAATTTCGAGGCATTTGCGGAAAAACGAAAAATTAAAATTAAGGAATCCAAAACAGAAACTATATTATTTAGTTATTACTATAAAGAAACTATATTACTTACAATTAGTTAATACTAAGGAAACCAAAAATTCAACATATGATAAGAAAATCAATATAAACGACTTAGTTCTCTTATATTATGTTGATGTAAATTGAATGAGCATAGTCAAAGGCATAGTTGTAATGTTCGACAAAAAAAAATATCCTAAATACAAAACTAAACAAGCTAAAAAATTGATATATGGTTTTATTCCTTTGTTAAAGTACAAATAAAGTACTCGAAATAAATGAAACAAGATGTAAATGGAATTAGATTGTATCTATCTTCACCAGTTTTAAGCAAAGGTAACACAAACTAGTGGTGCATGGCATCGTGCCTCAAGGCAAATTGCTGAAACTTCTCGAACCTTAATGAAATATTCGATTAATTTTAAATGTTTTTAAATAGAACTTTAGCTAGAATTAGCATTAAAACTGAATAATTTTTCGATATTCGAAATAAATTTTTTTGAAAATTAAAAAAAATATATATAAAAAATTATTTTCTCAGAATCAATTGTTTCGTCAACACAAGCAGAAATTTGTTTAAATAATTCAAATCGGGTGCTTAGTTTTCTTAAAAACTGCAATTTTTTGCACATTTAGCTTTGCCGAAATCTACACCACTTCTCCCCACCACGAACCGAATACTTTTTGAATCATTCAAATCGGTTGATCCGTTCTCTTAAAAACTGACATTTTTAGCACTTTTTGCTCCATATCTCCGAAGCCGCTGGACCCGCCTTTGCCAAAAACTAATCTTCCTATCAATAGAAATCGATTGCTTTTCGAATTTTTCAAATTGGTTTATACATACGACCGAAATCGTGGACGAAAAATTGTCTCCACACATACACACACACATCAATTTTTTCTGAGGTATGCCAAAATGTGCAGAAACTTCTGAAACGTGAAGATATGCAAAAATTTTCATTTTCGATTTTTGGCCCATTACTATAACTTACCTTAATAAATTACAAATAATTCAAATTAACCTTAAGGTCAGTTTTTGAAAACGAAAGTAAACTAGTAAATCACTACATACACTTTATCCCAAACAAAATTCTTCCTGAAACACTCCACTAAAAGATTATAAAATTATAGGATTTCATTACAAAAATTTTGAAACTATTTTTTTTTTCAAAATACTTAATAAACAATAATAAAACTATAAACTCTAATTCTAATTTTCAATTTATTAATATTACAACCCTACACAAAATATTATTACTATCATACTATATGAAATTTCTATTACGCTCATATTTTAGTTAATTTTGTGTTCTTAAATACTTAAACTTCTTGTTTTTGTGATGGATTTTGTGATATTATTGCCTCATCATAAGTATTAACTAAAACTGTAACACAATTATTTAATGAATTTATATGGAATAAAATAAAAATCTTGAGAAACCAACAAAATCTCACCATATTTCCCGCATTAACTGTCTCCGATCATAAATGTTAAATAATAATTAAAAATAATTAACTTATGGGTTTTAATTATAAATAACAAATCAACAGATTAAACCAGTATGTTAAGATACTTTTTATTGATATTCGATTAATAATAGAAAAATGTTTGCTAACTGACACCAATGTCAGTGTTATGCCGAAAACAATTCAATTTAGTTATATATATATATATATATATATATATATATATATATATATATACACTCTCTATCTCAATCTTAAAATTTCAAAACAATGCGATATTTAAATTTATTAATTGAAATAACGATAATTTATTTCCAAATAGTGGACGGTTATTCTTGTAAATAATAATTTATTTCAGCATATCAATGGGAGATTAATATAAAGATTAGAAAATATTTGAGAAATCCACGAATATATTTTTAATTGCTTTCTGCTTGAATATCTGAGTAAATATTGACAAAGATGGCTAGGTCTAATGATTATTGAACGATACTTTGAAAATAAAATACATTAATTACCGACTTCATTCTATCTTTACTGTGAGAAAATTTGCTAACGATACGGGCTTGCTCCCTAAAGCAACATATTTGCAGAAAAAATAGTTTTCTAATACACGTTTGCTAATAATTTATGATAAGGCTTAAGGCAAATTTTAAGTACCTTACAGCAATTCCCAACCTCAATACGCCGATGATAAAACAGAACTGTAATATCTTATGTTACAAGTTAAATCGAATTACATTTGTAAAACAGGATTCAATGAGGCGGTTCTGGGTTCATTATTCATGATTGCTTCGAAATTAAATTATTCGAAAACTTTCAGTTTTAATTTCGTAATGATCAATATGGTCAGACCGGTTGTGCTAAAATTGTCGCTCATTCCATTTAAGATGAAATCTGCTTTTTGCTGGTGTGAAAATGTTTCTCACCTGAAAATGTATCGTTTAGTAGGTGTAACGATGGAGTAATAAATGAAAGTTACTTTTGTATGTTTGTACATCTTTATTTACATATATTACGTCAATGTAGATATTTCGTATATACTATGAAAAAGAAAATACTTTGTTTATAGATTCATAAAAACGGCCGATGTGAGATTTTAAATGCAATATGTAAAACTGTTGTATACCTTCTTTATTTTTGCATGCAAGCAAAATTATCATTATGTTTAATTACTATTCTCTATTTTTTAAATTATCAATTATTTACTTTATTAGTTATTTTATTTATTTATTAATTATTTTATTTATTAAATATTTTAGTTTGTTTGTGTATAAAGGGAAAAGAAGTCCTTATTTATTCAATTTTATAAAAAATAGAGAAAGACATAAATAGAATAAAATATTAAAATTCAATCTCCAAAGCACACTCTTTGTTGTAAAGATATTTAAGTCTTTATTATTATTTTCTATAATCCAAATTAACTAATGATATTGCAATTTTGGGCCACTATTGAAACTTCGCGTTTTCTAAATTAATATTTGTCACAGAATTTTAATTTTAAGAAAATAATATTTGCTCAACTAATAACTAATTACTTTTGCTCAACTTTGATGAAGCAATAATTGCTAAGAATATTATTGAGATGAAGATTTTTAATTTTTGAATAATGTAAAGTTTTCCAAATGCTTTTTGAAGAAGCCCATATATTGATAACACAGTAAATAAACCAAGAAAAAGATATGCGAAGCTAACCCACAAATTATACAAACAACTTAACTCTAGAATGCTATAATTTTTCTGCAGTTTTTTTTCAGTACTGTACCACTAGTTACCAGCTATTTTTTCAGTGTTGTAATAGAAATGAGTTTTGCTGTTTTTTCAAAAAACTGTAACTTTGTCCTTTTTATCCAATAGACGTGGTAAATTGAGACGGCCGAGGACAAACAAGTCCAATATTTTATTTTAATTTTAAAGCGATTTTTCAAAATATTAGCTATATTATTCAACCAGTGCAATATATAAATTTCAAAAGTGCATTTTTACAGAGAACACTGTAAATAGTCTTGATCTGGTATTTTGTCAGAAATATTACTACAAATTTTACAACTTTGCAAGGGTAAAGGTTCAGTCGGTCCTTTTTACCTCACCCAGGTATAAGCTTTAATAGAGGTTATATTAAAAACTGTTGAATCTAACTTAAAATTAACAATATATTTTATAAAACAAACGAATTAAGTATACTTAAAAATTATATTAAGGTTTCGTAAACTAAACGATAGTGCTCACAATAAAAAAAAACTAACAAGTAACAAGGAAGAATTTACTTTATGGATTTTCAAGCATTACAGTTCATCTCCTGATAGCAAAGTCGTGAAAATCAATGGCTGGTTATGAATCTAATTATCTCTACTTTCACATATTGTTGTCAAAAAAATTTTAACTTTACTTGTTTCTGAGATATCGGTGGTAGACATTTTGATCCGCGGGTCTTTAAGCTCGGCTTCACTACGAAAATACACTAAGAAAAAAGATATGCGAAACCAAGGAAACAAATGTGAGAACCAAAATGTGTTACTCAACTTTAAAATACTAAAATAATTATAAATCAAATCGATACGAGCGTGGGTCCAAATATATTCATATATGGCTCAAAACCGAAAAGAGCATATTATATATAAAAAAATATTAGATATAATTCAACATCATTAGTAAAAAAAGACTATTACATATAATCGAATAGTAAAGTTCTTAGTAAAAGTCCAACTGAATAAAAAAAGGTTTATTTAACTGTTTTTTTTTTTGCATGAAGCGCATTCCATAAATACTAAAGTATATTTAATTAAAACTCAATAATTGACTAATTTACGATGATTTATTAGACATCGATTTAGAATATTTATTTTCTATACATACTTTTGTTTTTATATTGCCAAAATCATGGCACACTATAATCTAACTTGGAGCAAGTTTGCTCCATTGCATTTGCTAATTTAAAATCAAATCTAAGTTAGTTAGCATAAATCTCTCTCCGTCTCAGATTAGCATAACTAAAAATTGCCATCCCGGTTTGGACCTTAAAAAATGTAGTCACCTTAGTACTAACCATTCTCAATTTCATTTTATTTTATACATCGTCTAACTTTAAATTTTTTTTAATAATTGGAGACATGTATATATTTCTATCTACCTATTCTCCATAGAGACTTCTCATATAGCTCCCAGAGAGACTATTACGACGTCGCAAAATGAAAATCGTTGCGTTAACCAAATCACTAATGCATGTAGTGACACGCGTAATAACAATAAAACGGAAATTAGTTTTTCCCACAATTACAAGATAAGTTATGCATGCATTGTCTTTGTAAAATATGTTAAACTCTTACACACTCGGGTCGACTATAATTGCAAATGGAGGTTAATGTGCATGTAATGTTTTTTTTACAATTGCTAAAACGAATACATTTATCGTGATTAATCAGGAATGAAACAAATTCTCCTTCGAGTCGATTAACTGTGATATTTTATGATGAATACAGTTATTTTTACTATAATGTATTAAGTTAGAAAACATTACTATTGATATGGGTGTATGTAAAAAGCTTTTGAATAGATCTTCAGGCGAAAAGTTTGTCATTTTATATAATTAGAAAATTTTATGCTACTGAAGTCTATTATTAATAATTTTACTTTTGTGTAATATTTTATTAATATGTTAATGAAAATATCAAAGTTGGCTCTATTTTTCAAGGTCATTTTCATTGAATAATTTAAAAATACGTTTAAAATAAAACTTATCATACTTTACAAAGTAATTAAGGAATAAATGTCAAATTAAATTGAATATACACATACATATATATTTATTCATATTCATAATATTTATATTTATATTTGGGCGAATAATGGCTTAATAATGATTACAATTCAATGTAACTATTGATTTTGCTATCGAAAAACTTTTTACATTTATATCTAAAATATTATTAAAATCATGTTTCTTGCATCGTTGTTCCTGGTGTTAAATTTATTTTTCATATTTTAATAAGACTTTCCTATTTTCATTTTAACAAGACATGCACATGTACCATATATATGTACATATGTCCATACCTCAGAGTTTCTAATCTTAATTATAGCAGCAACAAAAAATAACATGAAAATAATAAAACAAAAAATAACATAAAAATGTAAAAAATTATCATATAATTTAGAAATAGACCTCTATCTTAGGTCTATGTAAATAAAGTCTAAAATATTTAAGTTAGATTGGAATTTCAACTTCAATTTCTATTTAATTAAAAATATCTTTAGTTAAATGAGTTGCAATTAAATAAAATAATAGAGTTTTATTGGAGCAAAAACTGTTCCTAACTAATAATAATTTATTAAATCAGAATGATATATTAATATTTAAATAGACATCCTCTATAATGACCGCAATGTTTTGTTTAGAATTGGAATTTCGATCTTTAACTAAATGACTTGCAAGTTGAGTTTAATAATTTTCCATTTATGTTTCGAAAACAAGTTTATAAACATAAATTATATAATTTTAAACAAGTTTTTTAATCTGGTAATCATTAGTAGAATTGAGATGGCAATATAAAATCATGCTAATATTATTTCGTTGATGAAATAGTTTAATTTAAAAGAAGTAATTGACATAATGAATGTCCTCTAACTTTAACTTAATTAATAATGAAATAGACATTCACAACACATCACCTAATCAAATAATCTCCATCTGCACAAGTTAATCTTTTTATTTTCTTTCAAATATCTTATTATTTTCTGTTTATAAATATTATTGTTACATACTGCATTATATGAAATTTTATCTTAGCATTTTATGTTACTAACTATATATTGTAATTTTGTGTATATTTTAATTGTTATTCATTATGTCAAATAATTGTATTTTTGAGTCCTCTTGGAGAAATCTGTGGGCTATATATTTAAATAAATAAATAAATAAACAAATAAATAATAATATTTTTTTGGTTAATTTTGTAAAATGTATCTTGAAGATCATATTGAATAAAACCAACTAATGTTTAATATAATATTTAAACATATACGGTAATTTGATTAAATTAAATTAATTATGTATATATAATATATTAATTATATATAATACATAATTAATTTATTATATCATTATTTCGAGTTCCTTGTATATATAAAAGTATATTCAAATTCCGTTATTTTTGTATATTAATGATTACTCAATTATTTATTAAGTTAAGTTTAAAATAATGTTACATTTGTATTGTACCTATATATAAAGTTTAATATTATGTATATAATATTTGTCATTTGTCAAGAAAGATATTGTAAATATTTGCAGACTCTTATATAATATAGCAATTTGTTAAAGTAAACTTCAGGTTAAACAAAGCCATAGTCTTAAATCTTTAATGTTCCCTGGTTTTAAGATTCTTTTAACAAATTTTATTCTGCAATTTGTTTATACAAAACAATGAGTAGAGATTGTTAATATATATATATATATATATATATATATATACACCTAAGTCTGTTTTTACACGGTCTTTTTGTACACGGTTTTGATATAACACGGTTTGAAAATTGAATATTTTTAATTTTTTTACACGATTTTATTTCATTTAGCACGATTTAAAATTGTATGTACTTAAATTTTTTTAGTCAAATTTAATTTTTGCGAAGTATGTTCATATCACAAAAAAGTATTTATGAAAGAAAAAAGTCTGAAACCATCGATAGTATCGATAGTTTGCGAACACTAGCTTAAAGATTTAAGTGAATTCCCCTTTAGCGCGTACAAACAATATTTACTGGTCAAAGCAAATGTGAAGAGCACTAATTTAGGGGAATTATTATTCAAATAAACATGAATTCTTGTTTTTGAAAATTCTTGTTTTTCACTAATTTTAATAGGTTTTAGAGAGTAGGACAAATCACCCATTTTTGTATAAGATCAATGTTTTTTTTACACGTTTTTTTTTACACGGCTTCTTCTGGAACCAATCTCCGTGTAAAAACAGTCTTAGGTATATATATATATATATATATATATATATGTGTGTGTGTGTGTGTTTGTGTGTATAAAAAAGAACATATTATAATTAGATATTATTAGGTACGGTCTGCGGAGAATTTACCAGGAGTAGGAATAATCAAATCATGTTATCACAATTTTAATATTATTATATTTCTGTGTTTTTTATTACATATCACCTAATTAACAATGACCTATCTCATTTTTTCGCAGCCGTGGGTCGAGGTATAGTCAGCCGGCGCGCAGCGTGTATTCTTACCGGAGCGGAGCGGCGCCGTCTGTTGCGTCGACCCGGAGGACACGTCGATCCGCGGGTGTCAAGGCGGAAGCTATGGTCGCACCTAATCCGTTCTGCCCAAACGTGAGAGGAATGTGTTGCCTCTTGCTACTACTAAATTTGGGACTGATACTTGTCACATTGGGTTTCGTGATTGTAATTCAATTCTTCGAACCACTTTTTGTCTGGTATGTAAAAAAGAATAATATAGACTATGGTTTTTAATTGGTTGTAATAAACAACTTCAATTTTTTCAAAATAATTTCAAATATATTAAAATATATTAATAGAAATTATACCTATGTCAGCAAATATATGATTTGTCTTTTGGGAATTTGCTCACAATATAATAGCATTAGCCAGCGTTTTAATACTATTAACAAGCGTTTTATACTATTAACTAGCTTCAATGTGAGGTTATAAAAAATATTATAAGATAATAAATTTATTAAAATTATTTTCTAACAATTAATTACTTTGTTGCTGAAACAAATAAATACCTTTAAATATTTTGAGACAGGGTGAGCTTTGTTACGTGTTCTTTTCTTAGATTTTAAACGCAATGTACTTTATAACATTTTTAATTGACGTTTTTTCTTAACTGTTTGCGGCACTATTTTTCTGTAGAACAGCATTTTAAATCCTTTCAAATGTCTTTGTATGATTTGAAATTCTGTTGTATTTTATATGGAGCAGTGGTATAGTTTTTTCTTAATAATCTCAACAATGATGATAGTACCTTAGATATTTTTACCAATTTATAATAAGCTGCAGCTAATTGATGTTTTATTGAATTTAAATAAATATATTTCATATAAATAATATTTACATGAAAAAATGTTCATCTGTTACTGTAACATAAAAAAAAAATGTGGCAATTGCCCTTCAAAATATTTTATCATTTAATATTATTGAGAAGTTTCCTTATCATTCAAGCTCTAAATAAATATGCAATAACTAGGCCTAACATTCATAACCCTTCTTACATCATATATTTATAAAATGGATGTGTTGCAATTGCATATTTGAATAAGTGATTATTAGAACAGAAAGCATTCTAAACGGGACATAAGAAAAGGTTATATATGTGCCGGATTATTATTAAATACGTATCGAATTCCAGCACTAATGGAATGCAACCTTTGGAGAAAATTTCACCGGCCCTCCCACATACCTTAACTATATGCATTACATATATTGCTATATTGCTGATTATTATTTACAATGTTTAACTGTGAATAATAGTGGTAGAGCCGATGAAAATCAACGCCACTAATAATTTAGAATAGATAAATAAATTTAATTGATAAAAATAATTTATTTTAAATACATTAAATGAATACATATATATATATATATATATATATATATATATATATATATATATTTAGATATATATACATATATATGCGCGTGTATGTATATGAATGTATGTTATTAAGGTAAAGTTGCTTAAGTCGTATCTGTAAGTAAACAATTTTCCAATATTCAGTGGAATTAAAATGAAACGAATTCTTTGGTATTTAAAAATTATTATTTAGTTGGCTTATATTTAGCAATTTTTATACGTTATTATTTTTTGTATTTGAATATTTTCACCTTCTTTTTCATAAAATGTGTTTCCGGTACGAGGTGCATAGTCGCCTTAGTCGTACCTGCTACTAAACAACTGATAGAATTCAGTCTGAAATTGACTGATAACTCGATTTTGTAGATACTTGTCAGTCATCAAGTCAAACATAATTATTCAAATAATAATTTCAATAAAATAATATCAAAAGGTAACGAATGCACTTACAAAATTATTTACTCTAAGTCTGAGAATGGAGATAAAACTGCCCATGAAGTTACAGCTATTATGGGTTACACCCTACTTGATGTTTCCATTTTGAAAATCTTGGGAATATTGCATTTATCCATTATTTCTTTGCATTGATTCATTAAGATGCTTCTATTAAGTATAACTTATAAATATGTGACAAAATGAGTTCCTTACCCTAAACATAGGTTTTAAAAAACTGGCAATAATACATCGATTTTTTGATTGAATCAATTATTCTAAATAGTATAAAATTAAATTATGATATTCATTTTACTTTTTTCAGGATACTGGGCATAGTGTTCCTCATATTCGGCTTCTTGACGCTGATAGGCTCCCTTATCTATTGTGTGGTGGTGTGCCGAGAATCTCGAGGTCCGCGAGACCTTAATCCTGAAGAACTTTATTGGACGCACCATTGGCAGAAGAGTATTGGCCACACGCCGAGTGCCCATGGCTATAGCAAGCACAGTGGCTTGGACGAGAGGGACGGCTATGGCAGCGACAGATATAGCACTGCCAAATATTCGGATAGGGACAGCACTAGATACTGAAAATTAAGGAAAAAGAGGTATATAAAACCAACGATAATTAGTTGGAAATAGCATTTCCAATAAACTTGCGAAAAGGTAAATTTGAGTGCCAAAAGGTACTTGGGTATTCTAGTGTAGAGCGATGAATTTTAGGTCATTTTTAAAGTGTCGTAAAAGAAAGCAATTGTTTATCAATATTATTGAAATACGATGCAAAAATTTAAAAAAAAGTTGAAAATTGAAGAAACTGGCAGCTGATGAAGTGGGGGGTCTCAAAAAATTGGCACCTCAGTCTTGACACGATTTCACCTCCTAGCCATCCGAAATAAAAGAAATAAAAAGATTATTAATCTACAATGATGTCGCAATCGCCCGAACCAGCGATGAGTAAAAAAATTTTTTTTTTACATATTGGCGACTGTTTGAAAAAAAAGTGTTTTTTACTGTTTTTTTGAGTTTCTCGATTTTTTTAAAAATAGTATAAATTGGAATATGGGAATAATCCTAGTTCGGGCTATAGATAGGTCTATAAACAAGACTCTCTGAACATTTCAAGTGAATCGGTCGATTAAAACTAGAGAAATCGTGTCAACAGTTCTGAAAAAGTCTGTTCTGAGAAAAACGCATTTAAAGTTTTGCGTGAAGCCACCCCAGTATGGAGACCGAGTCAGTAAAATGCCTATATCTCAGAAAATAATTCAAATTTTCAAAAACCGTTTCGTACCCATATGCTTAGATAGTTAAGCTTTCAAAATATGAAATAAAAAAAGTTAGATTTTTTTGAATTTCTACACTAGAATATACCCCCTTAATATAATTGGTTTATTCCTTTTGAAAACATCACGAAAATTTATTTATGAAATATTCGATTGTCAAAAACATTCGTGCAAAGAAAATGTTTGCCTTATTTTGATCAAAATTTGTTTAAATTATTTTTAAAATCTCTGATTCGAGTACAATTGTACAAATAATAATGTTGAACTTTGAACATGAGAAAGGTAATTGTTACCTATTATAATTTATATATTGATCAAAACTGTTATTAAGGCTTGCTTATACTAATATTAAATAATATATTGTATTCTAGCAGTCGACTGCTAAACAGATAACAAATGATCAATTTAATTATGATGAAAATGAAGCAGTGAATTTAACTTTACAACGATTTATATAATTTAAAAATTATATAAAATTTTATATATGCATGAAATGTTTTATTAGTTTTTATAAATGTTTTTTATATATTTAGATGCGAGCAATTTTTGTGCAATAATATTAATCTAAAGAGTAATAGAATAACTGTAATATTTATATTTAAAATATATGTTATAGATTTAATTACTATTGTAATTATATGAATATTGTTAGATTCCTTAATGTGAAAAAATTGGAGAAAATTGTTAACGACCAAAAAACAAAAACAAAGTAAATGTAATATGTTGTAAATAAGTTTCTTAATTATTTAAATTAAAATAAATTATGTTTTGAATTTATTGAAATGTAATAAAATACTAATCAGTTTGTTTTATTTATTAACATGTGACAACTTCATTAACTTCCCGTAGGGTAAGTTATAGTAATCCCAAAAAATCGAAAATGCAAATTTTTATATAACTTTACGTTTCAAAGGTTTCTGAATATTTTGACATACATATACTGACAAAATGGATGAATGTGTGTGTGTGTGTGTGTGTGTGCGGATACAAATTTTCGTCGACGATTTTGGGAACACCGATCAACCGATTTGAATAATTCGAAAAATATTCGATTCGTATTGACAAGGAAACATGCTGATTAGTTTTTAGCGAAGGCAGGTCTAGCCGTTCCGAAGATACAGGGCAAAAAGTAACATAAACGGTAACTCGGTTTTTAAAAGCGTCCGATTTTAATAATTTAAAAAACATTTTACTTGTATTGACAAGATGAATAACAGTTTGAATTTTTGGGAAGGCAGGTTCAGCGGTTATGGATTCTCAATGAAAATAAGTTAAAAAATGTCATTTAGTGGTCAAAAATGTTTATTGGACATATGTACATCAAATTATCAGATATTTTATAGAGATTTTAATAATGTGTACACATTTTGTGTAATTTTTTTTAGGTTCCGTACCAAGATTTTTAAATACGGTACGGCCAGTTCCAGCAATTTGCCTTAAGGCACGATGCCATACACTAATAGTTGTGTATCATTTTTTAACAGCATTTTTAATAGGATATTGGGTAAAGTTGCTCAAGTCGTACCACTGCTTAAGTCCTTGATTACCAACTTTGAAAAGTTGGTTGAAGAGTTTGGAAACCACTGGCTTGAGTCGTATCCCGGCTTACATTTATGAATTATACCATCTGGTAACCTTAATTTGAATATTCATGGAACATTGACAAGTGGAAGCCAGACGACTTTGTGAGGCAAAAATAATTTAAAATGTAAGTTTTTGTTTTCATTTTATTATTATTTTTTGTACTTATTTGTAAGCTTCTTATGACAGTTAGTGGTTATATTTATAATATTTATTTGGCGATCATTTAGGTATACTTTACCGCTGTTATTTGTTTATATTATGTCAGTGCTTTTAATTTTCAACTTTGAAGACTATGCGGCTTAAGTCGTGCAAAATTCCTCTAATATTTATGCATTATAATAGTCTACTAACTTTTTATCAGTAAATTAATATGGCGAAAAGAAACTACAACACTTGGAAGCAGGAGGATATGGATGAAGCTTTAAAAAAACATCGCAATGGAGAAATTGGATTTAATGAAGCCTGTAGAAGATATAAAATACCAAAACCTACATTTCGACGACATTTGAATGGTTTAAACAAGAACACAAAATTTGGAAGACCTAATGATATGCCTCCGGATATGGAAGAGCTATTAGCAGATCATTTAATAGATTTAGAGTCTTTTTTTGGTTTAACTAACATTGAATTTAGGAAATATGTCTTTGAGCTTGCAGAAAAACTGCAATTACCTCATCGATTTAATAAAGAGAAAAGAATAGCAGGCAAAAAGTGGTATTACAGATTTATAAAAGATCATCCCAAATTGAATTCACGTGTGTCAGAACCAACTTTGATGGCTAATAGTAAAGAGTTTAGTAGAGGGGGTGTTAAAAGTGAAGATGTTAAAGATGAAGATGTTTTCTGATAAACATGAAGAAATGCTGGAAAGGTTGGTTTGCATGAGTATTGATCAATATGGTTATTCGATTATCAACTATGAAATTATGCACTGGAGCTACATCATCATGACTTTATGCTCCAAGATGATGATGATACTATGTAGAGTGTAAAACTAAAGTCTGAGTTAAATACTTTATCTCCTCTGTCTTGAGGATAAAGATATATAAAATTGAGCAAGGTACAGAATTGTCAATATAATTAACTGATAGTCCTTATAAAAATGAAACAGAAAATAAGTAAAATGTTATTGAAATTATGCCTGCAATAAGTTTAAAAAAATATCAACGTAGAGAAACTTCAAGAAAACAAACATTTAAATCGTGAGAACATTTTTGAAAACAATAAAATTATCTATTTTAATAAGAAAGCTTTAATTCTTACTAATTGTTAATAGTTAAGCAATTAAATTAAATTAAATAAAGATTTAATAAATACCATATATATTCTATTAATTTAATTACACTAAATTTTTCAGACTAATAATTTCAGATTTATTTTCTTAGGGATTCGACTTCAGCAACCTTATTCTATTTAAATTTTAATATGCAGAAATTCTAAGATAGTTTTATTTATTATTTAATAATAAAAATGTCTATTCAATTGCCAAAGGAGAAGTTTGTTGTCTTTGCAATTAAAACGTATTAACGATATTTACTGGGCACGCGGGCTTTTTTAAATAATCATCAATGATTCATGAAGTTTGCAGTTTAATCAAAAGATGGCCTCCGTATAAAACATCAAGTTGACAACTTGATAAATAACGCACGTGCAGTTAATTGACAGCAAGCTTTTGTTTGTCATTTCTTGTGCTCTTTAAATAAAAATGAGAATAAACGAAAATAAGAAAATAATAGGTGAAAATGTTGTATTAGTACCTTATATGGAGCATCATGTACCAAAGTAAGTTATTGCGCATTATTTACAATTCTAATAATATACGTAATTAAATTTACAATATGTACTATATTGGTTAGACTAAAATCATTTTGGTTTTTCAATTAGATTATTAGATATTCACAATACTCCGTAAATTTAAAATATTTAATTACAAGATACATTTTTTAATAAATTTAAACATTATTTGAAAAGGTTCAAAAATAGTTTTTATTAGAAATATAGTGTTTATACTTATGTCTAAAAAACTATTTTGCATTTATATTTACTTCAAAATGTTTAATTTACATTTAAAATTGTTTGATATGCAGGTCTTACCTGTTTCCGTAATGCTCTGTCTTACACTCTTGTCAAAAAATTGCTATTAATTAATAATAAGATTTATTACTATTGCTTTACTATTATTTGCTAATGTTTTAATGCATTATCGATTGTGATCATATACAATTTCACAATGTCTACTAATTAACCTTATTTACTTAAAATAGTATTTCTTATCAAAAAGAATATGTTGTAAGTTTTTAGCACAATTAATTACAAATAAGTAATTAACAAACTAACTTGAATCGTTACTAATTAGTTAGTTTTGTATTCTCTCTTGTAAATAATTAATGTAAGTTAATTTATACAATTATCTTTATAAACAAACTATTTTTCTTATTTGTCACTATAAGTTATTAGCTGAAAATAGTATTTATTGCCAAGAATAAGTAGAACTTACTTGGCATACTTCATTACGAATAATGAATCTTTAAATATTGTTTTACATTTAATATTATTAAATATTTTATAGATATCATAATTGGATGAAATCAGAAGAACTACAGAAATTAACAGCCTCTGAGCCGCTTTCGTTAAAAGAGGAGTATGAAATGCAGCTTTCATGGAGGAATGATGATGATAGTGAGATATTATTAATGAAACACTTATTTTAAAATGTAAATATTAAAAGATCCCAAATTATTCCAGAATGTACTTTCATTGTGTTGGATAAATTGATCCTAGAAAAAACTAATGATGAAATAGGTATATTTTATATATTGACATATAGCATGCATATTGCTTAACTCAAATTTTTAAATTTAATTACTAACTATGGATATTTGTAATGCTAGCAAAAAATAAATGTTTATTCTGAGCCTAGAAGTGATGTTGCAATCAAAACTCTAGTTGGTAATTAATAAAAAACTTTCAAATTCATATTTGCTAGCTTACAAGTTCTCTATGTATTTTTAATTATAATTCATTTATAATTTTGTATATTTGTCTGCTTTATATTTATCTTTTATAGAAGCGATGATAGGTGATACAAATATTTTCTTGCCTGATCCTAATGATTCAGCTTTAGGAGAAGCTGAAATAATGATAGCAGAATCTTCAGCTCGAGGTAAGCGGAGAGGTTGGGAAGCTATGTTGTTGATGCTGTGTTATGGTATACAAAATTTATCAATTAAAACATATCAAGCTAAAATTTCTTATGATAATGAAGCTAGTTTAAACATGTTTAGAAAGTTGAAGTTTGATGAGATCAGTCGTTCTGATATTTTTAAAGAAATTACATTACAAAAATCAGTTGATGAGAATTGGATGAAATGGTTATGCGGTATTTTACCCACATATATTTGTGCAGATTATTTGTAATATTTATTGTTCATATAATATAGTAATAATATTAATTTGATAATGTATAATTTTTATAATAGTAATAACAAATTTTGTAACAAATTCACAAACACATTAAATGGTCATTTATAATGATGAAATGCTAATTTATTAATTATTAGTTTGTGTTGTGAGTATTACCAAGCCATAATTTTTCATTTAAGAAAAGAACGTTGGTCTAAGTGATTGTGAAAAAAGGAAACTAAATAGAATAGTAAAATAGGAGGATAATAATAATATCGGTACTTGACGAAGGAAAACTGAGGAATTTGTGCTGATGAGATTTTTTCATGGATATTTTTGTATAAGAGAAGTTGATAAATTAATTACTGCAGTGGCTATGGATCATTACTGATGCAACCTGATAGCAAATAGTAAGTAGAGATGTACATGTCATGATTTATTTTTAGCATTAAACGAGCAATTATTCTAAAGGTGGAACATCAGATTCATCAAAATTTTGTATCACTTTCGGTGGTTGTTTTTGTTGTTTCTTGCTGTTTTCAACAATTTTGCTGAAGTCCATATCATCAGGACCACCACCGATTTCTAGATATTCTCGCCTGCAAAGTATTATATATATTATTGCAGAATATAATATTTAATTCTTTTTTTTTACCTCGACATTCCCTGGTGTAAGCTTCCTTCTTTCAATTTATCATTCTTATGTTCCTCCTTGGGTGGAATATACTTTTTCGGAGGATTCAATTTCATTAATGTTATCACTAGATGTCCAGTTATCTGTGATCTTTGTGCTGTTGATCTTGATATATTAATCTCATCATCCAATGCTATTTGAAATATTTTGTTCTTGATTGTTACTCTTACATAATTTGGTTGAACATCAACATCACATAAAGATGTGTCTAAATGCCTAAAGTGAGATTTATTATTTATGCAAAAATAAAATATTAAGTTCAGGAGAAGTTTTTTGTAGAGTAATGTAATCTGTAAGGAGGTGAAATCTAAAGATAATGATCACCTATAAACGGCCAAGTCGAGAATCAATCGATCACCCTTGTCAAGAAGTTTGAATGGAATTTTGGGCTGATTCAAACAGTAAGGCCTACCATCTTTGGAAAATAGATTTAATTTCGGTTTCACATCATTTTCATCCTCTTCCTTTTTATCTAAACCGCGTGTTAGACGATGCATTTTGGACATTTCATAACGTATCTCTGGGCTATGTTCACAAGGTGTTTGCCAAAATCTATAAAAATATTTCGTTACAAAATGAATTTTTCATTATGAATATATTAATATCATGCCTTTCAATTTTTTCGTCTTCTGTTGAATTTTCATTAGCTTCCCAATTTTCTTTAATTTTGTTACTTACTCTTAATTTTTGTTTATATCTATCTTTAAGATAACCTGTCTGCAAATATAAAAAATAAAAATGTAAACCTGTTTAATTAAATTTGAAATTTGTTCTTGTCATGTATATTTTGCAACCTCTTGATCTTTAATCAAATGTCTAATAGATGAAAGTTTTTGCAAGGCGCTTATTCTATCAGAATGTGTGATATCTTTTCCATCCAAGGTTTTTAATTGTGGTAATGTACCAATAACAAAATCTCGATAATGTTCATAATCTGCAAAAATTTAATTTAATCATTGTGAATCCATCTATATATTATTATATACACAAATATGCGTATAATAATTTACAACATTTGCAAAAGAAAAATCTGAAACTAAAGTGAATTATTTTTTTATATTATAAATAATATAACTAATACTCATACTAATAATAATTTAAAATTATTAAAACAAATCTTAATAAACTTTATGTACCTGTGCAAGGATTGCCTGTAAGGTATAATATTTCCAAATTGTAGTTGTTTTGTAGAGATTCTACTGATGTCAATACACCTATGAAGTTAAGAGTTAAATCTAACTTCTGCAGTGATTCTAATCTTTCTAAGTTTTCAATTATTTCTATGTTATTTATTGATAAGTTGAGATACTCCAGACTCTTGAGTTTGCCCAAATTTTCTACAGGAAAATGAGTAAAGTAGATTACAATTGCATGTTGTATAATATTCTAAAATCTTGATTATGCTAACTGATTTTTATATTAAGATTTATCTCTTTTTTTTAAATAGATTTTTTTGAATTTACTTATCTGCACTGTCCGAATTACCTATTTTTGAAATTAAATTATGTTGCAGTAGGAGTATTTTCAATCCTTTTGCCCAGTGCTGTATATGCTCTATTTTTTCAATATCTTCTTGATGTAATGCAATTTCTTCCAATGTTCCAATTAGACATTCATTGTGTTCTGATTTTTTTCTAATTAACTCTTCAGTTACTGAAAATATGCAAATGGTTATATTTTTATTATATCTTTTATTGAGTTACTTATTTTTTTATAATTATTAATTATGTTGTTAATCTAAAACAACTTATTATTTCAAATTATTTCACTCACTTTTTACCATCCTTATTATAAATTAGTTGACTGAGATATATCAAAAGTTTTAATTTAGTTCTTATTACACAAATTAGTTTTAAATATATTATGACAAATCTTTCTGTGTAATCTTAGTAGTCATGGAAACATGTGTAATGATCAAACTTTTTTTCATTATTTTTTTTTCCGTTACAACCCTATTGCAAGATTCAAATAAGAAACTAATTTAAATATGATTCAAAATTTTTACACAACTTCCCGTTCTGTAAAGGAGTATTAATAACAAAAAATAAAAGATTAATAACGACAATTGTTCATTAATAAATCGAATTCGATATTATGTGCGTATGTGAAAATTATAAAAATTCTGCTTTTATCTATGATAAAAACTATAAGTTGTAAGTGGCATTTTACCTTAAGTCAAGATGCAATAACTTCTCGATAGGTATAAATAATCAACTTATAAGTTGATTATTTCAGCTTATATATAAAGTTATCTTATATCATCTTATATATAAGTTGATTCATTATAATGAGTTTAGATTTTAGCAACATTTTTCGAGTTTCATTGAATGATTTTTGAATATTTTAAATTAGTGGAGCCATTTTTGAGATTTTGGCTCTGCCAAACATCCAATTTTTGTGTCCAATGATTCAGAAAAAATACCAAGTCGGAATTTCTGGTGAAAATATAGACTTTTTCTTCATGATATTAAAAATTCATGTAATTGTTCAAAAATTTATATGATTTTTTACTAATAATAAGAATAATTCATACTGTTGGACATTAGTTGATGGGGATCATGCTATAAGTAATTAGTTTGGTAAAGATCCGCCTAGCCGTTTCTTTATTATCGTTGAAAACATTTTTTTTTGACGATTCTGATGAAACTATTATGATAATTTAATTCAACAAACATCCCAAAATTTTATAGGCCCACGAGAAGAGTATAGCTATAAAAAATAATTCAACTTTTGGATAATAATAGGCTGTATCAACATTTTAAAATTCTATCGACAAAATATTAAAAGTTGTTAAATTTCAATTTCTATTGATTAAATCGATTATTTACACATATTGGAAAGTTTTCGCAACTTGCCTAAACGCAAAGTGCTTCTTAGTTTGAGAAGATGTGGACCAATTTTTAATTCGGCTATTATAACACAGATGGAACTAGCGTAGCTGATATTACATCTGTCAAATATAGGTTAAGAAGTTACATTATGAAAGTATTTTAAAATAATTAAATATTTTAATAATAAATTTCTTTAACTGTAATTAATAAATAGAAACCATGTCAACAATTATTGCTGGCCGTAATGTTAACAAAATTTATAATAAAATTGGCGATATATGTTTGCGAAAATGTTCACAAAAAGTAAGAATGAACAAAATCCCAGTCTTTAAAATACCTATAGCGAAATATATTATTATCTATGATAGATCTTTAGATTCAATTACACTTTTAATGGCTTATGTGATTATATTTTTTGTACTGCAAGTTTGTTAAAATTTTATTTCAGAAAACATTACTTTGGATGATTCACAATGATATTATTTGCCATATATTATTAATTGTAGGGAATGATATACTAATTATTTAAATTTTTATTGTGAGGTAGGGCCGGTCAAATGGCCTAAAAAAATATTTTCAGGAATACAACCAACTGGAGCTTTACATTTAGGGAATTACATGGGAGCAGTATCGCGTTGGTTAGACTATCAGAATGCTAATGAAGATATTACTTTAAGCATAGTTGATATGCATTCTATAACACTTCCACAGGTTTGCATAAAAAGATTTAATATGTATATTGTATAAGAATATAAAAATCACTAAGTATTTTTGCAATTTTATTTCTTTAGGATCCTGCAGAATTAAAATATAATACACTTCAAATGATTGCCTCTTTAATTGCCTGTGGAATTGATCTTCAAAAATCCACTTTATTTTTACAATCACAAGTTCCACAGCATGCAGAATTATGTTGGGTGTTAATGTGCCTTACTACAATGGCGAGACTGGGCCATTTGCCTCAGTACAAAGAGAAGTCCAGTAAATTGAAAGAAATACCTTTAGGCCTTTATGTGTATCCAGTTCTTCAAGCAGCAGATATACTTCTTTACAAGTATGTATTATTACATTTGTTATAATAATTCATATCACTATGAAATGATATCAGATCTACAGTCAAAAGAGAAGAAAGTAAATTTAATTTACATACATAATTATTTATTAACTTAGAGCAACACATATTCCTGTTGGAGAAGACCAAGTACAACATTTACAGCTTGCCCAAGATATTGTTAAAACTTTTAATCATAGATATGGAAAAACTTTTCCACATCCAAAAGCAGTTGTTGCAGGTATATAAAAGAATTATGATATGTACATGTATATGACACATTTAAATCAACAATTATATTATAGATGATAATAGCAGTCGCTTAAAAAGTCTACGAGATCCAACAAAAAAAATGTCAAAATCGGACCCCGACCCAAAATCTTGTATTTTTCTAACAGATACTCCAGAACTGATACGAGAGAAAATGAAAAAAGCTATTACAGATTTTACTTCAGAACTTACATATGAACCTGAAACAAGACCTAGTATAACTAATTTAATTATCATGCATTCTCTAATTACAAAAAAATCACCTGAAGTATTAGTTGAAGAAAACAAAAATGTGACGACGGGAGAGTAAGTGTGATATTGGAATTTAATATATCAATTCAAAACATACATATTGATGGATATATAAACCTTGACATTATTATATAATATATAAATATATATATATATATATATATATATATATATAATGTTCATACATTTATGTAGTACATGAAGCAATAATTGTATAAAATTTTTACTAACATTTATTTTTAGATACAAGTTAGTGATTGCAGAAGATCTTATAAACCTATTAAATCCTATAAGAGAAGAAATGATTCGATTAATGTCTCATCCAGAATATTTAATGAAAGTTATAACTGAAGGATCAGAAAAGGCAATGGAAGTAGCTGAGCAGACTTGGATAGAGATTAAAGATAAAGTGGGTTTAGGTGGCACTGATATTATCCATGATTTTAAATCACAAAAGAAATGTACATTCAAGCAATAATTATATGCTCTGATGCATTATATTAGAATAAATTAAATTGTAAATAATTTATTAAGTTATTTTAAATACTTGTCTCGCAGGTCAGTTCCAATTTATATAGTCTTGAAAATTAATTTTTTTTTTCAAATTTTGCGCTTTAACTTAATACCGTTGCCAACATAAGCTGGTGTCGCCGAGCTGTCAATTTCATTTATCTCATGTTGGCTAAAGCAATGTTTTGACGTTTCATTTTCCAAATTTGCGGTTAGAAAAATCTAAGAATGTGCTAGTCATTAATAAGTGTTTCATAAAATATTATAATTAAAAAAAAAAAATTATGGCTGCTACGAAATCTATCATAGTTTTAGCACCCAATGGTCGAAGACAAACAGTTAAAGTGACACCCAATCACACAATTCTTCAGGTATTAATTGAGAATACAATTGAAATTTTTGTGTTTATGGACACATTTTATATATAAAATCTTTTTTAATAAGATTTTGGAAGAGGTTTGCAAAAAACAAGGTTACAAATCAGAAGAATATGATCTTCGTCATCATAATCACATCATAGACACTCAAACAATTCTACGATTTTCTGGTTTACCTAACAATGCAATGCTTGAAATGTCTGAAGCAGTTAAATTCGGGAAGAATCTGATGTTGTTCTTGGAGTCCAATTAGAAGACGGTATTTATTAGTGTAATACCTTATCTTTAAATATAGAGAAGCATTGCATGTAAATTGCAATTCAATTAGCAATTGCAAAATTCAATTAGGATTTACTCTTACACTCTTTGTATTTAAATAATTTTCAATTTTTAATTTTTTCTTACTAAAAACTGCATATATTATATATACTAAGCACTTTATTATTAGAATAATGTATGTAGCATCACACATCAATATATTTTAAAGCAATATAAAATGCTCTGAAAGGTACTAGACTTCTTGGAACATATAGCCCTAGTGTAAATTTAACCACTGTGCTTGGAGATCTGTGCCCTCAACAAAGTCATCCTGATTTGCATCCTGTGGTAATTTACATGCGAAGAGAAGTATGTATCATATGTTTTCTAATAAGAAATAAGTAACATTCTGTTTAATTTATTTTATCTGTTTTGAAAAAGGTATTTGGAGAAGATCTTCTTAAAAACACAACATTACGAGCGTTAGGTCTAACAGGAGGTAGAGCCATGCTGAGGCTAATTCACAGAAAACCAGAAGAACTTAAATAGTAAGTGCTTAGTGATGCCTTTTTACCACATTTGGTTTCTTAATATAATTTTATGACATAGTTTCTAAATTATCAAATATTGCTTCTAAGCATATTTGATTAAGATATCAAGATAAATCTTAAATGCAAAAATAATGCACATTAAAAATAAATAAATATTAGCAAAGCTGATATAAAACTCTTCTTGTAGTTTTAAATTAAAATTTGACTGATAATACCACAAAAAGTCCTAAGCATATTTTTAATTTTTTTTAAATATAAATTTAATAATATAAATATGTAAAATCAGCCAGGCAAATGTGTCAGCACCTCTACCTGTGAAACCAGTAGAAGAAAAAGAATTTATTAAATCCGCCCCAAAGTTTACTAAGTCTACAAATGCCTCTGACGTTGTAACTAAAACAATTGTGACAGCATTGAAAACAGAAAAGGAAGTGAAAACTCATTCAAATGTACCCAGCATTCTTAAAATTACACCTAATGATAGTGATAATGCAAATGTAATTAGCAAAAGGGATTTTGAAGAACCACAATCTAGTAGTTCTCGACAAAATACATCGCAAGTAAAGCAGCCAAAATTAGAAGAGACTCCTACACCTATGGTTACAGATGACACAGAGGAAGATGAAATTAAATTTGTGAGTTCAGATATAAAAAGTATTTTCCAATATACATTGTCTAAATATCAATAAATTTTCCAATACATATCAGATCATACTTACAGTTAGGTGAAAGAAATGCTGTGGCTTACAGCTTATCGAATTGTAATATTTCAACAGCTATGTATAATGATCTCCCAGATGAATTTTTTGATTTAACTGTGAACGATGTAAAGAAGTTATTGAAAGATCTCAAACGCCAAAGAGCAGAATTAGAAGATGCTCCTTTGCAAACACGAGAGTTGAGAAAACTAGAAGAATCTAAAAAAGTATAATCATTGATTTTTGGGCAACTACATGTTTTCTATTCTTTTAAATTTGATTATTTTTTATAGGTTTTATCACAACTCGGTCAATACAAACGATGTGTTTCTACGTATTCAGTTTCCAGATAGAATAATTTTACAGGGAACATTTTTGCCATCAGAGAATATTCAGAATGTCTTGGATTTTGTATCTCAATATTTACAGTATCCAAATACAAATTACCATTTGTGTAAGTTTTTATGTTTGATTCTTGGAACTTTATTATATATACTTTACATAATTAATTTATTATATGTACCTTTTTAATTTTGTATCATCAATTTTAAAATGTTATTGCTGCTGCAAAAAATTTTGCTTCAGCAGTTTAAATTTGGTTTCATCACATTTTGATTTGAAACATCTTAATTAATATCATAATTAAATTGAATCGCTACAAATCCTTATAATTTAGTAAAGGCATTGAACATAAATAATACTTATGAAGTTGAATATTACTTTGTTGTGCCATTGTTTCTGGTCTAAGTAGACCTGATATTAAATTTTGTCAACAGTTATTACACCACCTAAAAGAATATTGCAGCCAGATGAAACTTTAGTAGAATTAGGATGTGTTCCTTCAGCACTATACATTTTGGAATTCAAGGAATCTCTACTGTTGAAGTAAATAACACACCATCTCATATGAGAGCACCATTTTTGAACAACAATGTGATGCAGAGCTTATCTACACCCACAGCCGCAATATTAGCAGCTACAAAATCAAGGTATTTTCATGATTATTTTCTCTCATGAGAAAAATAACAAGTTCAAGTTACCAAGAACAAAAAAGTCTGAGATTTAATTAAATTGTAAGATTTAGTTGAGTTTCAAACATTGCTTCGTCATTTGTCAAATGTGATTTCAGTTTTTCAATTTTTTTGTCTTTATTTATTTATTTCTTTCAATTAATGTTTTGATATCATTCTTATATATAAGTATACATATTTTTAAATTATATGTTTATTGAATGTGGATAAGATTAATATTAACTTATACATGTGAATAAGATTAATTGTGTGAATCACTTAAACTGCTAGAGGTTTATTAACGAGGCCAACCACTGAAGATAATGAGGAAGATATAAATTCCCAGCCTAGAAGTTCGGGATGTCCAAGATCTAGGAGCCCAAGCAGGCCTTCTGGTGCCCTGACGGTTCCACCACCTTTAACCCAACAAAAGATGCCGAAATGGTTCAGACCATCCAAGTAATGTCATATTAATTATTTCAAATATTTTTTGTAAAGATTTTTAATAAAATATACATGTTTGTAAAATATATAATTATAAAATAGATATAAAGTTGTTGTTGTTAGTATTATTTTAGTATCAAAATGTTATGTAGTGAATTTATTTTTATTATAAATTAATTAGCTATAACTTGATTTAATATGATAGCAAATTTAAAATCTGATTTAGAATAAGCTCAACAAATATATCATAAAATCATATGCGAGATACGATAGCATTGGTAATTCAAATCTTGGCGCCATTTTTGTTTGCGCGCAGAAACTTCTGTTCTTAGCAGTTGGTTCATTGTATTT